ACCTCGAGTGACGGGGCTCCCGTGGTAAAGCTGTGGACTTTGGAGACGCACTGTCCTGAGTGGTTATCTCGGTTCCCTCCATGTCAGCTTCACAACGCGGGACATCACCTTCCGTCCCCTCTCGGAGCCAAGTTTCGCGTCTATAAAGTGGGACTGCTCCTTCCTTCGTAGGCCCTTGTGAGGATGGAGGGCAAGACCGTTCAGGGACTTGGATGGTTTCCGTCTTACAATCTTTCCTTCCTACCTGGTCCTTTCCTTTGGGCTCCATCTAAGTCCCTCCTGCAGCCAATCTCTGGCCTCTATATTTGGATGATCCTGGGAGCTTCTCAAAAGCATGCAGGCTGCTCAGGACGAGCCAGCCCCAGATCCTTTTCTTGGTGGGTGGCTCACCCTTCCCCTGGCCCCTGGGTCACAGCTCCCGACACCCGGGCTCGTCCTGAGCCTGGGAACCCGCATCGCCTGCGGACGCCGTGAGAAGACACCTGTCCTCTGCGACGTCATCCAGGGAGGGAAGTCAGTGCATCTTTCGCCCCAGCAGGCCTGCTGTTGGTGAGAACATCTTGTTTCTAAACTGAAAGGGGTTTACATCCATTTGAGGAGTCCCTTTCCTTCTCCCAGTGACCTGTCCCTCTGAGAAGCCGGTTACCAGCCCACGTTGTCCCAAAGGCTGGGTGACCTGCTGGCGCCCTCGGACGGGGTCCTACTCCAGCATTTAAACACGAGTTGAGCCCCACTGCCGCGGGAGATGGGCAACCTCAGGTTGCCGAGAGCCGTGGCCACGGGCTTCCTGCTTGCCTAGGGGACACACGCCTGGCTCTTCTGCGCGAGGGCTGCAGGAGGGTGCCCTTGGGCGGCGGACAAGGGGAAGCCGTCAAGGTGTCCATGATTACCAAAGGCTGTGTCAGAAGTATGTTGTCTAAAGTGGAAATTACTGCCCTTGGGTAACAGGAAAAGGCTGGCCATTACATTATAAGTAGGAAATGGGAGATAATGAAATAGACGCCTCGTGCACAATGTAACCTCAGTAAGTGACTTTGCATCACAGGTCCCCCCCCCTCCCCGCCCCACCTGCTTCCCAGTTCATTTTCACAGATGGCTCTTCTCTGGGGCATTTAAACTTCGTCTCTCAAAATCAAGTGGTGGAATGAGCAGAGAGATTTGCCCCAGCTGTTGCTCTTGTGACTGGGGCCGAATCCCAGTCAAGTGCCAATAAATTATTCCCATAATGTCCTTCTTGCTCATCAGAAAGCCCCTCCGGGGGACCCAAGCTGCCCTGGGGGCTCCTGCGGTGCTGAGACGCGTGGGTTCTGATGGCTTGTGGGAGTCACAGCGAATTCACTGCATTCGAGCCTTTTTTTTTTCCTCCACTTTCTTTTTAAATCGAAGCATTTACAGTGTCGCGTTAGTCTCTGGCATACAGCATATTCAGTTATACGCACACACATTCTTTTTCAGATTCTTTTCCATTATAGGTTATTACAAGCTACTGAATGCATTCAACTCTTGATGGCTCAGTCTTCAGACACATACAGAGAGAGACCATTGTAAAAAAAATTATCTTTTCTGTGCATGAATTACAGCTCAGGTCCCTAAACTGCTTGGGAGCCCTTCAACTATAATCTCTGGCTTGTTGCCTGGATGTCCCAGGCTGCTGACTGGTGGGACGATTTTTGGTGAGACATTGGGCACAATGAATGATTGCCCCAACATAACGGAGATGCAGCTTAACTGTACGGCTCGGTTCACGCAAGTTCTCCATCCTGAGTGACCACGGTTAGAGGATCCATGCTGGCGAGTGCCCCGGGGACCACTTCCACATTCTGCAGCTCCAGGACACGGGTCCCGGTGAGGGGAAGCCCGGGATTGTACAAGTTAGGAGCCAAGTTGGGACCAGGCTCCTGACCCCCAGGGCAGCAGATGCAACCACACCAAACCTGACGTTGCACATCCGCCCCGTCCTTCCTCCACTCCCACGGCGGTTAGAAAGTGAAGTAGCCGACGTGGAGACGGAAGTGAGGCCCCCGGGATGCCCGATTCTGGGGCCACCATTCACAGAATGGTCCTGCGAATGGGTGACCTCTGCACTGAACAGCCGGTTGGGCCGGGCACATGGCCTGGGCTTGGAGACCGCCCAAGCCAGTCTCCCAAAGCGTGATGAACATGGATAAAGTGAAGACCCCGGTGGCTAACAAAACTCAAGGGCTCCGAGCTCAGGCCTGGGCTCTTTAGAACGAGCCTTGGAGACCTCAGGGATGAACTGGCCCCGGGGGTGGGATCCAGGCCGAGCCCTCAGAGAAGGGGAAATTTGGGCCAAAGAGGGAAGTGGTGGGCCCAGTGTCACTCAGGGCTTCACTGGCCGAGTCAGGGTGGGGGCCCAGGGCTCCTAGGCCTGCATCCTCTCCCAGGATGCCTGACGCGGTGGTGAGGACAGTGCTCTGGAGAAGGGCGGCCAGCCGCGCGGCTGGAAGGGGTGAGGTGGAACAGGCTGACGGCCACCCCGGGGCTCACCTCTGGCAGGGAAAACAGGAGAGCCACTTCTGGGTACACAGACGCCACTGTCTGCACCGACAGGAAGCCGTCCGGCTCTCTCTGGATCTCTCTCTCTCACACACACACACGCTCATCCGTGACTCCCCTCTCCGTGGACCAGTGTTCTTTGCCCCTCGCAGCCGTGGCAGAATAGTTCTTAGGTCCAGCCACCCCATGACTCTCTTGATCCCACCTCTAAATTGATGCTGAATTCGGAGATGTTGCTCCCTGAGTCTCATCTGGGGCTGCAGGTGGGGTTTGGAAGGGACATCGTCCTGACAGCGGGACAACAAGGAAGTTGTCCCTGAGGATCCGGGAAGCCAGAGCTGCCCTCCTCCTCACAGGGGGCTTGGAATGACCGTGAGCCCTTCCTTGACTCCACTTCCTCTCCCTCAATCCTCTCTCTGCCTTTGGGTCCAAATCCAACCGGGTCCTCCCTTGTTTGAACGCTGCCGCGGGCAGCTCCTCGGTGCAGAATGTGTAGGACGAGGATGGAGTCCAGCCACGAGGCAGAGACGTGAGCCCCCGGAGAGCCCTCCATCCTGCAGAGCGGGCACCTGGCGCGTTGCATGTGTGTGGCCGCCCGCCCCTGGACTGCAGGCTGCCGGTCCTGCCAACACGCCTTGGCTTCAGATGTCCCAGCGTCCTGACCCAGGTGGACACCTTGGGACTTCCCAATCCCGCTCCAGTAACTGGACCTGTCCGTGAGTGAGTGGTCAAGGGACATCGGTCCATCAATCCTGCCTGGAGGGTCTCCTGCAGATGAGTGAATTTTTGAGTTTTTGGTCGCACAGAGCTTGGTTGCAGGCCTGGAAATTAAATGATGCATATTCACATCTCTGCATTATAACTGTTGCTCTGAAGGCCCTGGGACGGCTGTGCTGGTGTCTGAGCCTCATGGTGTGACCCAGGGGTCGGCATAACTGGTGTTGACTGAACTGCTGTTCCATGCCAGCCTCTGTGACATGCCTTGTACAGATTATCTCAGAGGGACAGATGGGAAAATCGGGGAACCACAGGGAAAGAGAAGGGGAATTTTGCGACTTCTATTATCCAGGAAAGGACAGGCCTTAAGGGAAAAGACAAGGGGGAGAGAGAGGCTCGTTCGGAGGAGCCGTGATGGGCGAGGCTTGCCTGGAGCCAGCAGGCCCCTGGCAGACGGTGTCTTGTTCCAAAGGCGGAAACGAGCAAAGGGGAGTGCGGTGGGAACCGTCCGGCCACAGCACAGCACGAGCCGGAGGTCCTGGGAGACCCGGCAGGCATCGCCCACTGCCCTGGGAAGCGCAGTGGCCCCCAGCTTCTAACGGAGCAGAGGGGGCCTGAAGAAGTCACCGACACCCCCAAGCCACATACAGGAGCAGTTCCCCGGGGTGATTCGCGGTCACTCTGCCTCATCCCGCAGGCTCCCCAGGAGAGCAGCAGCTGCTTGCGATTCAAACGCTAGGGCGGCTGGCCCACCAGCGCTTCTTAAGGGAGACACAGCGCCTGCGCTGGGAGGGCCCCGTAGCATCGGACAGCGTGCAATTTCCAAACAGGAGACTTTTCCGCCTCCAACTCCACCGCCAGCCCGGGTTCGTGGTCTTGCTTTAGTCCCCCGCTCCCCACCCCCATCTCCTTCCTGGGGGGGCCCCATCCGGCCTTGGTGGATTTGAAGGTGAAGACTGAGCCCAGCCCAGGCAGTAAGAGGAGTGTTTGACTGAGTGGCAGCTGTGAGCCGGGCAAAGTGATAATTGCACAGTTTCGCCCGCCAAACCCAGGACTGCTCCCTGTCTGCCAGATGGGGAAACTGAGGCCATCTCCGAGGAAGCGGCCTAGGGAGGGCTCCCCCAGCCGCTGGGATCCGACCGCACACTCCATGCGCTCCCAACCTCCCCTCTCCCAGGTCCTTTCTGGGCTGGATGCTGGCAAACCAAAGGCAGCTCGGGGGAGGGAACCTCAGAGGTGATGGGCCGGAGGGAGGACCAGCGCAAGCTTAAGGGAGGCAGGACCCCGGGCAACGGCCTGGGCCCCGGTTCCCCATGAGGCCGGCCCCTCCCAGCAGCGCT